TTTTAGATTCTCGCTAATGATTTAATTCTATCAATGGCTAGTAAAGTCCAGCATGGCATTATTAAGTATATAATATACCTAAAATACCTCTTAATATGAAACATTGTATTTGGGACAAAAAATGGTTTGTTTCAATCAAAGTAGTAGACTTATGATTTCTGTGAAGGATTTGGAAGAATAAATAATCACATTTAATAAATATATTAGGACTGAATTTGGAATTGGTCCTCAACATACAAAAGAGCTCTGTCAGGGCAGCCTCCCTCAGTAACCAAGAAAGAAACCACTCAGCTCCATTTTGCAGAATTAAGAGTACTTTTACTGGTTATGAGTAGATAGCAGCTAAGCAAAGCAAGATCTAAGGCAAAAGCGTGCGTAATCATAGACATTAATATGTGACCCAACTCCTTCCCCCTGGTAACCCCATCCCATGGTCCAATCCGCACAACCCTCAGGTGTCATGTGGGTTCCATCTTCAAAAAGCATCATCAGGTTGGTATGCTGGACAGTTGGCCTTGGTGGCAAATCCACTATCTGCAGCATGCGCAGTAGATGGTGAGAACAAACTCCCTTTTTACAACCACTCCTGTACTGAATACTTCCCCACCCAAATACCATGCCCCTCCCTCCCCGTTTCAATGGCAGCCGAAAGCAAGTAGCAAAGCAGAGGCTGACAGTGGGGAAAATAGGAGGAGGAAGGTGTGGCGGATATGTCTGCCTCCTTGAGGTATTTGCAAAAATAATAAAGGCAGGATACAAATAAACCAACAAAAATAAAATGGTGCGAATACAGAGGGGAAGGAAAGAAACATCCAATCTGAATTCCAACCCTTGAACTCACAAGCATCACAGGAAACCGTGCTGTGGTCTACTGCCATGTGGCATGGCTTGTTGCAAAATCCTGGCTTCTTAGTCAGAAAAATCACCTGCCATTTATGTCTGTGACCTACCTGAATAGTCTACAATGTGGGTGGGGACCTTCTCAGGAGTGACGTCTGCAGGAATGATGATCTCTTCCGCCCGAGGGGGAACCTGGGGTGAAGAAGATTTATCTCTGGCGTAACTCAGATGATAAAGGCTTGTTTGAATTTATATTATGTGTAGACTTTAGATTTAAAAATAGTTGACAAGACAATAACCACCATCCTGGGTCATTACTGTCCTGAGAGAAGAACCCATGAGGTTTCTTCTTCTCTTGCTTGTATGTCGTAATGTACTTTTATTTACACTCTTTGTCCTGCTTATAAATTTCTATGGGAAAGTTTTAATGCTATAAGAATCTCTCTCTATAAAAATGGTAGCATATTTCTGGAACGCCTCCGGCAATTTCAACCAAACCTGGTACATAGATGACTTACTCGCTGGAAAAAAATACTGTGGGAGTAAGACAGGTGTGTGTTCTGTTAAGATACAGCCTGTTGTGCCTTAAAATGGCTTCTACTGTACTGCCATGAAATAGCTTCTGCTGTATAGCATAGTGGAGTTGCTGTGGTAACAGCTTCACAGTACTCCACAAGGAGGTTCCCTCTGGTAAGGAAAAAATTAGAAATTATGTTTGGTCCGGACATTTTTCCTCTATGAATAAATACCTGGGCAATGCAGGGTTATTACCTAGTAAGATAATAAGAATAAGGCAGAATAAAAGAATAATAGCAACCGTTACTCACCTCTTCAGGGAATTCCTCACCCACTAGAGCCATGATCAAGGATGTTTTTCCCACTTGGGCTATAAGGGAGAGAAGCAATAATAGTTACAGGCAATCCTTGTCTTATGACCATTCAGCAAACTCCTTGTTCAGACAAAAAAACCTTTTATTAATTGACTGTGAATTCTGCTCATTCATGTCCAGCAAAGTCTTTCGAGGGAGAATTTACAGTCACAGACCTTATCTGGCTTGAAGAGCTGCCAGGCTGGTATCTGCAGAACTTGGCAAGGAGAGTCTTGGAGAGTCATGAACCAATTAAGCGAACTAATTGTCTCCTGCAAACTCCACTCTCCTTTTGCTCCTCTTTTGTTCCCTATGGGAGGGGCCATTCATCGTCCACCTGTGGCCTTACTCCCAAATTGACCCCTGTTCTTTAGCTCTTCCCTTTGTCTNAACTTGGGACAACTTGCCATGGCCAACTCACTGCAGCCAACTCACCACGGGGCAATGTAACAATTTCTTTTTCATTATTTAAAATAAAATTAAAAAATATTTTAATTTTTGCCATTCGTATTTTATTCTGTCCCTCCTTCTGCATCCTTTCTTTAATGATTCCATCCCACCATTTCTTTGATATTAGTGTGACTCTTGTCTTGCAGTGAGTTCTCCTGCAGCACGTTGGCCATGGTGAGTTGTCATATAGCACTTAGACTTATATACTGCTCCACAGTGCTTTTTCCAGCCCTCTCTAAGCAGCTTACAGAGTCAGCCTCTTGACCCCAACCATCTGGGTCCTCATTTCACTGACCTTGGAAGGATGGAAGGCTGAGTCATCCTTGAGCCGTTCGGGACTGAACTGCTGGTAGTGAGTAGTTAGCCTCAAATGCTGCATTACTAACCACTGTGCACCATGGAAGGAAGGAAGGGGAAAAGGAAGGGCAATAGCCCTTAGACTTATATACCGCTTCAGAGTGCTTTACAGCCCTCTCTAAGCAGTTTACAGAATCAGCCTATTGCACCCAACAATCTGGTTCCGTATTTTATCCACCTTGGAAGGATGGGAGGCTGAGTCAACCTTGAGCTGGTCAGGATCGAACTCCTGGCAGTAAGCAGTTAGCCTGAAATGCTGCATTGTAACCACTGTGCACTGTGGAAGGAATAAAGGAAGGAAGGGAGGAAGGAATGAGGGAGGGAGGGAGGGAGGAAGGAAGAGCAATAGCCTTTAGACTTATATACCGCTTCACAGTGCTTTTACAGCCCTCTAGCTAAGTGGTTTACAAAGTCAGCCTCTTGCCCCCAACAATCTGGCTCCTCATTTTACCCACCTTGGAAGGATGGAAGGCTGAGTCAACCTTGAGCCTGGTGAGATTCGAACTGCCAAACTGCAGGCAGCCGGCAGTCAGCAGAGGTATCCTGCAGTACTGCACTTTAACCACTACACCACTGCGGCTCCATGGGCTGTATATCAGGGGTGTCTCAACCTTTGGCAACTCTAAGGTTGTGCCCTTCGACTCCCCAAATTTCCGACCCCCTCGGCCAACAACCCTTTGTTCAACGAGAAGCTCAAAGTTACAATGACCTTTGAGAAACTGATTTACAGCCTGTCTTAGCAATCAGCGCATACTGTATTGTCTTAACAATCATCGCACTACAGATCCTCACAATCACTTAATCACCATTTGAGCGCTGGCTCGCATTGACCATCGGTTGCAGCATCCCGCAATAATCACACAGTCGCCATCTGCAGCTGCATTTATTGAACAAGCCGTATGATTTGCGTAAAGAAAAATTAATACGACCGAATGAAAAAAATTAAAAATGAATTTTAGGAAACACGGTGGAAAAACTGAATCCGTCTTGGCTTCTCCCTGCAATGATTTACAACAAAAAATCTGGGTCCCAATCATCGGTCGTAAGTGGAGGACAATTTGTATTCCCTCCTTTATCCAAAGATGACTTAGACATGATATAAAGTTAAGTTTTTTTTTTACATCTGCAGCAGATTTTCCAACCTATTTTTCCTATCATTACCTGCAAAGTAGCAAGCCCAGAGGGAACAAACCTTCAGGTCACCATTTACTCTTGTGCAAACAATCCTCCATAAACTACCTCTGCCTCAGATGACTCTGGAAAGTAGCAAGGGAACTGAGATGATCTCCGCATTGCAACTGAGATGGTCCCCTCAGATGTGAGATCTGAACCTCCTCATCCCCCTCTCAGCTGCTATAATACAAAAAGTTGCTCTTCTCCGTCATTTCGTTCCTGATCGCTCATTTATTCTGATTGTTCAGAATAAGAGAAATGGAAGGGACCTTGGAGGTCTTCTAGTCCAACCTCCTGCTCAAGCAGGAGACCCTACACCACTTCAGACAAATGGTTATCTTCTTCTTTAAAAACTCCAGTGTTGGAGCACCCACAACTTCTGGAGGCAAGTTGTCCCACTGATTATTTGTTCTGATTTTTAGCAAATTTCTCCCTAGTTCTAAGTTGTTTCTCTCCTTGATTAGTTTCCATCCGTTGCTTCTTGTCCTGCCCTCAGGTGCTTTGGAGATTAGCTTGACTCCCTCTTCTTTGTGGCAGCCCCTCAAATATTGCAAGACTGCTTTAATGACACCCCTTCTTCTTTTCACTAATTATTGCAACCATTCTTTATGTATCTATGTATCTATCTATGTAGCTAGCTAGCTACTCTCTATATGTATGTATGTATGTATGTATGTATGTATATATGTATGTACGTACGTACGTACGTATCTATCTCTATCTATCATCTATCTATCTATCTATCTATCTATCTATCTATCTATCTATCTATCTCTATCTAATCCATCATCTATCTATATCTATATCTATCTATCTATCTATCTATCTATCTATCTATCTATCTATCTATCTANATTATTTTTCTATGCTGTTTCATTAGTGAATAATTGGGAGGGGGAATAGGAAGGAGTAGAATTGTAGAATGTGTTGTTGTCAAAATAAAACATTCCTTTCTAGAAGCCCAAGGTCATCTTTTGTCTCCGCACCTCTGCACCTGACTGGAACTAGATAGGTGGAAATGCCAGCATGGCAGAGGAAGACTGGACCATGTGATGGGCTTGTGGTTGTGGGGGCAAAGTCTTGAACTTTCAACTGGGAAGGAAATCCAGGAAACTTTCAGATTCGGGTTAATGTTAGCTTTCCAAATATCATCCAGAATTAAATCAGAGTTCAAGGCAAGAGCTTTCATCAAAGTTCCAATTTAATAAGAGAGACATGTTGGTACAAACTGTGGAAACCCAGGAAGCTTTCAGATTCGGGTATTCCACAGTTTGTACCAAACTTATTAAATTGGAACTTTGATGAAAGCTCTGCCTGGAACTCTGATTTAATTCTGGATGATATTTGGAACACTGACAGTGTTTGTCATGGAAGGCATCTCCATGGTAGAATGGTCATGTTCCCGAGAGAAGCTCCATCAAGTCAGCCATTAAAAAGAAAAAGTGGCAACATTGGAGCATCAGCAAGCCTTGGGGAAAAGCTTTCAGCTTTTATTTATGGAGAGGTTTTTGGACATTGCCCCCAAAAAGAGACTTATAGCCCAGTTTCGTATCTGAGTCACCACTTTTGTATTTTGAACAAATATCCGATTGATTGGCTTTAACATGAACACTGCAAGCTGATTTTTTTTTTGGCAGATTCAGGCTGTTAAATGGTCAACTGGGGCTCTGCAGCACTACTTCAGGTTTGATCCTATTAATTTAAAAAGATAGAAAAGGCTGCTTAAAATGAGTTGCAACTAGGTTAACAATGGTACTCTGACGTACTATGAAGAAGCCTTATTATAAAACTCCCAGACGGAATGGCTTTATTGGAAGAAATAAAAGGAAAAACAGAATCTCTCTCTCTCCTTCCAACTCTCTCTTTGCATCTCTCTCTTTCTTTCTATCTCTCTCTCTCTTTCCAGCTCTTTCTCCTCTCCTTTCCCCTCTTTCCCCCCTCTCTCTTTCCATCCCTCTCTCCTCTCCTCCCTTTCTCCCTCTCCTTCCATCTCTCTTTCTATCTCTCTCTGCTCTGTCTCTCCCCTTTTATCTCTCTCCGCTCCTCCCTCTCTCCACCTCTCTCTCTCTCCTACCAACTCTCTCTTTGTATCTCTTTCTCTCTCTTTCCATCTCTTTCTCCTCTCCTCCCCCTCTCCCTACCCGCCTCTCCTTCCAACACTCTCCTCCCCACCTCTCCTTCCAACTCTTTCCATCTCTCTCCTCCCATTCATTTCTCTCCTTCCATCTCTTTTTCCATCTCTGCCTCCCCTGTCTCCTTCCATCTCTCTCTTTCCCCTTCCATCTCTCTCCTCCCTCTCCACAAGAAAAGAAAAGCAGGAAATGTTTTACCTCTCTGGCTTTCAAACAACTCATTCAGTCCCACCCTGATTTCACACCTAGATACTGACTTTTAATCCTTTTCCTTCCTGAAAGGTTAGGATTTCTGTTCCGGACACTGAGTTCCTGTCTGCAGCTCCTTGTCTGCAGAACAGTTTCTTCGCATGGACATTCTGTCTTTGCTCAAGAGGTTCCTCTCCTCCACATTATTATTTTAAAACCCACGAACAGCACGAGAAATAAATTGGGTGAAAGTGAGAGGAAGTGATTTCATCACCCTACTGGGTTCACTGAGTTTTTAATTGGGCCTTTCTACCCAAAAGACAAACATTATATATGCTTTATCAGGGGCAACTTGGGACAACTTGCCATGGCCAACTCACTGCAGCCAACTCACCACGGGGCAATGTAACAATTTCTTTTTCATTATTTAAAATAAAATTAAAAAATATTTTAATTTTTGCCATTCATATTTTATTCTGTCCCTCCTTCTGCATCCTTTCTTTAATGATTCCATCCCACCATTTCTTTGATATTAGTGTGACTCTTGTCTTGCAGTGAGTTCTCCTGCAGCACGTTGGCCATGGTGAGTTGTCATATAGCACTTAGACTTATATACTGCTCCACAGTGCTTTTTCCAGCCCTCTCTAAGCAGCTTACAGAGTCAGCCTCTTGACCCCAACCATCTGGGTCCTCATTTCACTGACCTTGGAAGGATGGAAGGCTGAGTCATCCTTGAGCCGTTCGGGACTGAACTGCTGGTAGTGAGTAGTTAGCCTCAAATGCTGCATTACTAACCACTGTGCACCA